TAGCTCTATTCTTTATACCCTGCTCTTATTATCCAAAGAACAACAAGAAGAACACTGAATTTGTTGCTGTTGATGTAATACTTCTAGTATTGTGCCATATAGCATTATATTTCATACTGGTACTGTTCTTCAAAATATTTTGCGGTTTTGTCATATTCAAATCTAGAAGTTTTTCACGTTGGTACCCTGTGGTAGTAGTAGTAGTAGTAGCAACTATGGAGCGTCTTTTTCCATAGAAGTGATGACTCTGAACTTTGTACTAGCGCCTCCACTAGTTCACAAGGTTAACATGATATTAAGTTCATTTTTAGTAGTAGTAGTGCATYATGATGTACATTTTGAAATTTAAAGGCCKTCTTCTTCTCTTTGGTACTGCTGGTGTGAGACACGTTTTACATTTATTTTAATATACTGTACTTTGTAATAATCTACATATTTAATTTGACCATGGCCAAATGTGTTCAAGCATTGAATGAAACCAATCACGGTAATAATGCTCGTCTGTTAGAGTTTCTTCAGTCGGGGCTGGTTTGCGCTCTTTTCCGATTGTCCTGCCTCCAGGAGGTACAACCGAATCTTCGTCGTCCACTTCAAAAAGTTCTTCGAATGCTGCTTCGTCGCTCAACGTTTCGTTGCTGAACGTTTCGTTGCTGAACGTTTCGTTGAAATTCATATTAATAAAAGAAGTACCCGAGGATGAACTCGAGGAAGAACCCGAAGAAGAACCCGAGGTTGGTGCTTGTGTACCCGCTTGTGCTGCTGCTGTACTGTTGTCAATTCGCCCCGCAACAGTCACTCGATCTGAAAACACCGAAGATCCAGATGACGAACCCGAGGAAGAACTAGAAGAAGAACTTGAACTTGGTGCCTCGCTCGGTGCCGCGCTCGGTGCTGCGCTTGGTGCTTCTGAGCCTAGGSTTTCTGCGCCTACGGGTGCAAATAGTGCTGCTGATGCAAGGGCGGCAGCGTCATTGCCAGTCCGCGTCCCCGCCGGAGGCAAGCCCTCGCTTGAAGAAGGAGATGAGGATTCCCCAGATGAAGTAGGAGATGAGGATCCCCTAGATGAAGAACTAGATGAGGATCCAGATGAGGATCCAGACGATGATCCTGAGGTCGGAGACAGTGTCTCAAACGTGTTCGTCCTGCCCATGATGTCATCACCTCCTGAAATTTCGTTGTACCATTCGTAGTAAGCCATTTCAGCTTCAGCTGTGAGTGGTCCTTCAAAAAAGAAACCGTTGTCTCCRAGTTCCCCGAAGTTTCCAGCCTGGCCGTAGTTTCCGTACTGGCCGTAGTTTCCGTAATTCCCATATTGGCCATAGTTGCCGTATTGRCCATAGTTGCCGTATTGTCCATAGTTCAAGTAACTATCAACGAGATTTGACAGATATGAGAAAAGACCCTCTTGGTTTAGTCCTTCTTCGTTATAAACGTGGTAGACCTCTTTGTTATCTTCGTCGATCTCGATTTTTGCAATGAGCTCATCTTGGAACTGAAGGGATCTCTTTTGAACGCCCGTGTCGCCAGAGCCATAATCGACCAAATATCTCCGCTTGCTCTCTCCGCCAAGTCCATCTATGAGAGAATCAAGACAGTCGTAAAACATATYGGGCGTGTGAAGAATCAATGGTTGAGTCATTTGCTCAAAATTAATCAGSGGCTTGTCTCTTGCTTGCGGTTCAAACACGCAACCTTCTTTCAGACCTTTTCGAACATGGTTGTTCCCGAACATCTCTTGGTGGTAATCGAGTTGAATCATCTCGGGGAAGGTGAGCATCAAATCCGTAAAGACAGCTTGATCGTCCTCGCTAAAACCGATATCACTCAATTGTAACAGCTTCAGCAAGTCTGCGGGGTATCCTGCAAGAATGCCTGAATTTAAGAAAACATTGTTGTATTCTTCGAGGCCACTTAGGAGAGTATCATCCAGAGCTCGGTTTCTCATCATCTCCTTCCAAGAGACAATGTTGTCATTTTCTTCTGGGAGGCAATCTTTCTTTCCAGAAGAGCAAGCTCGTTCTTTCCGTYCTTTAGCRACAGGATCGAAGTAGTCCCCCGGGCGAGCATGACTCATTGCGGCGGCACAGCACTTTTCTTCGGCAGACATGATCACAGCATGTGGATGATTCTCTGTCAGCTTGTYGAAGGTCTTGAGGAAAGAATCCACTGCTTCCGTGGCGCTCTTCTCGTTGTCAGGAACATTCAGGACAACGTCTCTGGCTGTGGCAATAACCATTAATTCATTGCGATTGGCAACCTCAAGGAATGGTCTCAACAATCGGAGCTTATCTCCAAATCCATGGTGCTTGAGTTGGCCCCCGTACACGGTCGTTCGGAGGCTTGCGGTTTTGCTTCGCTCCTTGAAGAAGYGCACTGGCGATGTTGGATCGCGTTCGAGATTTGGGTTGTTTTCGTGTAATAGAATATGGACATCTTTGCGCAACCGCGAGCGMCGGTCGGCTTCGGTCGAAGCAGTAGCTCCCGCTACTGCCGTACTCGACAGTAGGATTATTTGCAGTAACTGTTGGAATTCACAGAACTTCATGGTTATGTAAGAGGATTTCGTTCTTCCTACCGCCTTCAGATTGGTAACAARAAGGGTGTTGTAATTGGTAGATTTGCTGAGAAGGATAATAGTRGTGACAYACGATTCTGGAAAACGAAGCCGATCAGGAATTTTCGTGATGTGTGTCGCGGTTCGGAGGACAAAACGTAAAAAATACTTYTCTACGAACAAGATTTGGCGATACGAAAAGTTACCGGTATTTTTCCGGCGCGTCACGCTGCACCGGGCGAGGCCGATAGAAACATGAATCTCCGACTCGATGGAGTAAAGTTTTTTGAATAATTTTGGGACCTTTTCCAGTCGTGCATAATTTTGTTYCCGGAGGAAGGAAAGACCACAAATTCACAACGATACTTTCGTGCGTGTTGTGGCGGGGCCCAATGGTAGAATGTTCTCCCACSACCAGCGCTACGGCACAGCTTTCGAACTCTTCTAGATTTTTTGGGCAGAATTGAGAATTCTTTCTACCTCTTCACATAAAAATTCATCCTGTAGTGCAAAACCCATTACGTACTGTACTGTTARTCAACACGACAACAACTGACCTCTCCACCGTTCTCCATTAATGAATCGTAAATAAAAAAAGTACTGTCGTCTAACCAGTACCATAGCGTGAGCAAGTTGGAACAATTCGATGCCTCGCACGTTGKTCGTGTTGCATCCTAGTGTGCTTCATTTTGGTTGGCCCGGTATTTCGTGAGCTATAAGATGAGGAAGATCTTGTATTCTACTCCGGCTCTCCCACATCTAGAAGGTGCCCATCCTGGTGATACAATCTCGAGAAAAACGATGCATCGGAACAAGAAATCCAATCCAGCGCACACCATGATGGCTGGATGTTTGGCGGGCATGTCCGGGACCATTGTTGGTTACCCTTTGGAGAGCATGAAGGTATGGGTGCAGACAAATACGATGGGCAAGAACAAACACCTGGTGGCGAAGAAAGGATTCAAAGCTCCCAAGGATGCATCGACGAAACACGGCAGGGGTGGAAAATGTTGTAGCAACAGTAGCACTACAAAGAGCAGGATTGCAAAATCGTCGAAGGCCTCTGGTGCAAGAAGGAGCAACTCTACGACAGCAACCACTATGCAGCAAAGAGCGACCGGGGCTGCGGCAAGAATCGTTACAAAACCGGTTTCGACGATCGTCCGTACCGTTCGTGCCTTGTATTCTGGTGTGACCGGCCCCCTTGTAACGGTTGGAATGGTACAAAGCATGAACTTTGCATCCTTTGATGCAACCCGAAGATTCCTCTATGCTCTACAACACGGGCAGGCCGGCAGCGTTTGTAACAATTATAGATCTCAGGACTCCCTGACGAATGTAGCTATGTCGGGATCGGTTGGAGGCATGACCACCGCCACCCTGACGGCTCCCCTCCTCATGATGAAGATCAACCAACAAATCTCTGGAAACACTTTCCGCAAGGCCTTTCGAGAAGTGTTCGTCGTAGAATCGGGCGGTCAAACAAGGTTCAAACCCTTGCGACCCTACGGTGCGGCATTTCTGCCTCACTTGCTATCGGAGGCACTGGGTCGCTCCATTTATGTCACGGCGTATGAAGGACTGAAGCGATCTCGGTTGGCTTCCAAAGAGATTCMGGACGGCGCTGGTGATGGTTTCGGGTTCGATGTCCAGAACAATGGCGGTGACGGCGGCGGTGGCAATTGCCTTTCGCTCCCGGATCGAATGGCTTGCGCCGCCGCGTCCGGAATTATTTGCTGGGGTACCTTYTTCCCCCTGGACACCCTGCGCAACCGCATGTACCACGCAGCAAGCCGGCAACCAAAGGTGGTCTTGACGAACTCGCCCAAGTCGAGGGCACCCTCCGTCCTGGAAACCATCCGAGTAATCCGCAAGGAGAGGGCCTTTTATCGTGGGTTTTCGATCAGCATCCTACGAGCGGGACCCGTTGCTGCCGCGGTGCTTCCCGTCTACGATCTGACACTCGAAAAGCTATCGTCGCTGGAGTGAGGCGACATGGCGCGACGTCGAGCGGAACAAAGCAGCACACCATCACGAGAATTCGAAACCAGGGGACAAATAATAACGGKATAAGGCAAGCAGGTACGAGCAGTGGCACATCMTCTCATTCTTAATCTGGTGTACATATTGTGCACAAACGAATGATACGTTATGTTATGGAATGCAGTTTTCTGATAATCGATGATCAATCAAAGTTGGAGTTCTGCTATCAGGAGAAAGTAGCTACTTTTACCAAATGCTTCSAATGTATACAAGTATTGGATCATAGGAACAAAACATGGCTTCCCTTACGTACGCTATGTCCCTGGTGTGGAACCTAACAGTTTTGGTCGCTGTACGGCTGAATAATACGACTCCGAGCTACCGCGGTATTGTATGCTGACATCGGACAAGAAGACAAGTYCCTTGTCGATATCTCAGACCAAAAAMTAAGCACCTTCTATGGTATATAAAGATAATTTGATTTTAGGCAACTGAACCGTTKATCAAGCTTTGTAGGTTACTCCGTTTTTRGATGAGAAAATGATTATTACTCATATTAGAAGTACTTTTACTGTAATGGAAACCTATTATTCCCACGGTAGTACGAACTCAAGTGATGAGTCCACTGTTTTGACTCATTTGAATACGTACGTACCGGTACCTTTGAATGGATTTATAACTTTTGACCGGACTGGACTGAAATGGAATGATGAGTAAATGACTACAAGTACGTACGAGTACTGCCCCTCAGAAATTTCATACATTCTGCAATGCCACCAAGCTTACCGTTCGTAATTCTACTTCACGGCACGTACGTAGTGGCACAACTTTGTACTGTAATGAGAATAGTCATCGGCATCGTCACCGTTTACGGCACAGTAATGCAAGAGCGAAATGGTCGATTACGCGTTCGATACGAGTACGGAAGAGTACGTACGTAGAATACTGTACGAAGTATCTTTCTTACTGGAAATAGTWCTGTAGGGAAGTACAGTACCCTACGTACTGTACTTACGAAGCCATCGATTCCAGTGGGAYCGTTCCCAAGGTTGACCGACGATTAAAATGAACCGAGAAAMACCGTTCCGGCGGCGTTCCAATGGATCTCAAAGCATATGATGCTTTAGTATCAACTCAAAAAGCGACGGAATCGAAACCTCCTTTCCGATCCTTTCTCTGAAGAGAAGTGCCTCGGTTTCACGATTATCTCCATTCGACGCAAATCAATATTTGGAGGAGGCCCTTTCGAAAACATCAAGAAAAGATCTGAAGGAATCACCAAGAGCTCTGCTTGAACGGGGCAGACGTCAGAKTCATCACAAGGGCATTTAGTACAACGTACCAAGACCACGTTTCACTCGCACACCTGCATGAATGACGAAGTATTGAAGAATCGCCATCTAAGGAAGAATCAAACAAAGCCCGGCGGATGAACACAAGTATTCTCCGGCGCTTTCGAGATAACGGTTTTCGTTAGACAAAAGGAAATTCATTTCTCCCCTCCATCATCAGATTAATCCCAAAGATTGTGAAAATTCAAACAGAATACAAATACTATTTGTAAGAGAGAGAGAGGATGCCTGAGAATTCCGAAGCGAACCSCAATGAAAGCAGCAGCAGCTTTGTCGGCTGTGGAACTGACAAAAGTTGTAAGCGCAATGAGATGGATTCCGAGSCAAGTGCCAACGTTTCAAACCATAATTACGCAAATTACTCGCAAAATGGCTCGATGCCGTTCCAACATCAGGCACCGATTAGTAGTAGTCGGCGAAAAAGAAAGCTGACCGAAAAGGTAAAAGCTTCCGTCACAAAGCCCGCGCGTGCTGTCGGCCGTCGCGTATTTCGAAACAGAAACTCAAGAGGTGGAGTTCTAGGCGGAGAGGGAGTAGAAATCATATTAAGCCGTGATGTTTCCAACAAACTATCTGAGGACATCTTTCGAACCAATTCTTTGGAAGAAGCTGCGGGAACCACTATGAGTGRAGGAAGTCATTATGGTAGCACGATTAGTGAGGGAAGAAATTTGCGTCGTTCCCTAAGTCAAATGATTAGTAGTAAACGATCAATTTCGACAAGTGCATCCACGAATGGAAATACGATGAGCAGACCGGGCGATATTGCTTCTACACAAAACACCATTAATGACGCTGATTGGTCGGTTCGTACCTTGGAAGCCATCCTACGAAAATTGGCTACACTCTGTGGGGTATACGCCTTGGGCTCCTTCCGCCCAGAATGGTCATCTTTAGTTTTGCGAATGCTAGAATTCGTTGCCACAGCATGGGTAACTTGTATCATAATTCTTGGATTAGGATGGGTTCGGAGATGGAACTTACGAGAACAAGAACGGCAGCGACAGCAAGAATATTTACCACATATAATAGTGGACCAAGAGCMACCAAAACAASAGGATGTAGAAGAAATTGGTACTTCAGAAATCGCACCACTTTTGCAAGACCAAAAGAATAGCATTGCATATGGCATTTCGTCTATTCCTGCTACCAGAAATGCTTCAAAGCCGGAGAAGGACGACAAACAAAACAGAAAATCGACAACTAAAAAAATATCWCTCAGCCACAAGGCCGAGAAAAGTTTGTCTGAGGTACATTCCTCGTCCGTAAGAAAGYCGAACATTTCGTCAGCAGAAACGCAAAATGAAATAGAACACCCAAAGCTGACCTCGTTCTATGCCGTGGATACTAGCACTGGAAGGCGGATATCGTGCAATGCATCTACTCCATTTCATATTTCCAACGAATGGATGGAGATGGATATGCTGATAATGCTTCGAACACCCGATGTGGATGATCCCAGTGCTATAAAGGGAACAGCCGCTAATGACAAGGTGTCGGGCTATCTAAGGAACAAACAGCGACGTTTCGAATTTCAGTATCAAGTGAAACTCAAAAAGGCACCCGTGGGTAAAAGATTCTACTTTTCTTGCGAATTGGATGAACCGATTAAGATGGGGATAGTGACCAGGGCATTTGTTTCTGCGGCTATGGCATTTGTGAAATCAACGAATCCAAGTTTTCACTATAATGTAACCGGAAGCAAAAAGAAGACAGGTGACGGAAAGTTCGAAACTCCTCACATGTCCTTTACGGCTGAAGGTAGTCTAGATCGGTTTGTGGCTACKAAACCCGGTGAAAAGCTGCCAGAACTCGGCTCRGAGATTCATGAAGACCCTGAATTGATGAAGAAACGAAAAAGTGGGAAAATGGTCTTCAATACTGAGGACACATACACCTTTAGCTTATGGAGCTCCTACGTCGACTTTTTGGATTGGAGATGCCTGAATCTACCTGGCATTAAACCCTTTGGGCTGTCGTCGGTGCTAGGATCCCAATCGATCAACTTGACAATGTATCTTATTGATGAAAATAGAGGAGGAGACAACCACTACCGCAAAGATATTACTGAAATCGTCAAGTTCGAATTTTCAAATGGAGAGAWGGCTGGTATAGGGAAGGAGGCGCAGAAATTGATCGATGTCGCAATGGAGAGACAAAAACAACAGGAACTTAATGCCACTCAAATCACGACAACGCCTATGCAAGAGGTTGGAGAACTGACGAGAACTGAATCAGACGATTCATGTTCTGATGACACCGATTGCATTAGAAACACGATAACTATTGACGAAGTAGAAGAAATTGATAGAGACGCAGCCGACGCAGCCGAACTTGGCGAGGGGATATACTTGAGATCCGGTGATTCTGTGCTTYTCAAAGAATTYTTGCCAGAAGATGAAAAAACCACGGCTTGTGCTGTCATCAATGGTGGTGGCTTTGCGGTCGTATCAAAGCAAAACACTCCTATTGTGATCGAAAAAACAAAAAGGCAAAGGAAAAACAAATTGATCAAGTCTGGAGATACTGTCATGTTCAAAATGATCCAAAATAAGCCCGGTACAGAGGATTTGGAAACTCGATATCTTACCATTCATCGTGGCTGGTGGCTTAAGTGGGTGACAACGATGCCATTGAAAAATGGTTCTTTCACCATTTTTACACACGAGACAGAACTTGGCGAACGCGCTCTACCGACAGACGAAACACAGTCATCATTTCTCACTCTTGGGGGCTCATTTACTCTTCGACACAAACGATGGTCGAAATACTGTGTTGGTATCTCATCGAAGCCATCCACTGATTTTGGGGGGAGAATGCTAAGTTTATACAATAGCAAGAGCAGTGGGAAAGGGTTGGTAACAGAAGAGGGAAGAAACCAATCTATGTATCAGTCAGATAGGAACCAGCCCACTGATCAGTCCGATGATGACGGGGAGACTGACCGAGAAATGCCTTCCATCGAAGATTCTGGGCGTGTCAAGCCACTCGTACTTTGTACTCAGGATCCAAAGACAGCGAMGRATTTGTCTCCGAATTCGTCACCAATAAAAGTCTCCCGTTCTGACAATAACTTCCACGAGAAGATTGAGCCGAAAACTCCAAATGGTTTCAAATTGATTTTCTCTAATGAGCATTCCCGTGCGGATGTTCCTGCTTGGATTGAAATGTTGGATAGAGTACAACGAGTGCGTCAATTGGCGTATGTCGTTCGTGTTGTATGTCGAAATCCCACGGCTAATGCATCYGGGAAAAACAACGAAGAAACATTTGCTCGACTAAAATCAGGGAAAAGACTAGCTCATGTGATGAGTATCGGCCAAAGCATTGACATTCCAAACTTTGCCCCGAGCTCGCTTGTYGCAGTCGACTCTTGCGACAGTGTTGATGCAATATCGAAGAGCAATCGTGACATCAACCAATCATGTTTTGCTGAACCTCTCTCCGAAACAAATCAAGGCGATGAGGAAGAGGACGAAAATCTTGGACACTTAGATTCGTCGAATGAAAATTTAAATGAATTTGGACTTCAAGGAAAGAAGATAACATYGAGTGGAAGTTTAAGTGTATACGATTCATATGGCGATCCTGATCCTGATAATGTTGAATCTTCAACACCGACTAAGATCGAGGAGGATGACTTTATTAACGAAGATATCATTATTGCAGACTCAATGAGTGACTCGTCATTAAGTGATACTGAGGTTGGAATCAAGAATAAACGTAGATTGGGAAATGTGAAGAAGCTTGCGAGGAAGACTGTTGTTGGGACGGGTCGCATAACGAAGGGTAAGAACGTCCGTTTGAAATTCCCTTTTGTATGCTTTATCTTTTCATTGTCTCACCTTAAGATTCTTATCATGAACTGCACAGAAACCACCAAAAAAGCTGCCAAAGGTATCAAAGGTACGTCAATATCAAAGATCAGGAATGGCCTTGTACCGTGTTTCGTATTGTGGTTATCATCTCATTTTGTCTTTGTTTCCAATTGTTAACAAGTAGGAACTGGAAAGGCAACAGGAAAAGCTGTAAAAACGACCGGGAAAAGGTTGATTGCACCAGTCGCAATTAAAACTGGAAAACAACCAAGATCGGGCCCGAAAAAAAGGATAAAGGAATCTCAAACTGGAGTACCGAAAACTATGAAGAAACTTGGAAAAATTGAAGCCAAGTCCGGTGGACCACCAATCTTTGTTGCAGGTGAACTGAGTGCGACAGAGCAGTCCCGGCGTACAGCATCCAGAATTTTGGAACGAATGTCTGACGTATCCATCCAATCTTCAGCGTGGAAAAGTTGTAATGATGCTCTATCATCTGAAATTGGCTTTTTGACAGAACAAGATACATGGTTCTTGAACGGAGATGCTATGCATCTTGGTGTGAAGCCCAGCAAGAAGCATGGTAAACTACTGGGCGACACCATAGTGGCAAGGTGCTTGTATGAATCCCATTGGAGAGAAGAATGGTGTGGAATTTACGAGAGTTGTCTGGTTTTCTATGCTCCATTAGCCAAGTCAAAATGTCACGAGATCTTTTTTTCAGATATTWCGTTTGTACGTCCGTTGGCAGAGAATAGACTTTGTCCCCTACCAGGATTTTCCATACTAGTGGTTGAAACAGCATGGCAATGCCACTATATAGCTTTCCGTGACGAAACATCGAGGGGTACTTTCGGTGATAAAGTGGAGTCTGCTCTTGAAAGGCTCAAAATGAGAAGAGAGGTGGAATCGCCGGAACAAATTGACTTACAAAAAGCAAGATTTTGGCAGGGTTTTCAGACGCTCTCAGAGACATCTCTATCCTCATGTGCCGCGAAATGGGCGAAAGTTTCGTCACAACAAAAAGCAAAAGAAAGGGCTATCCTCAATGGCCGACGAATGGCATTCGATAGACTTGCAAGGTCTTTTGGAAATAGTATTTCCAAAGCGAACRAATTCGTTGAAGACCTGCTCACGATGGCTCTTACATTCTCTTTCCAGTCTCTCGAACAAGACCCAGAATCCTTTATCGAGTTTCTCGACTTGACCAGCGAACTTCGATTCTTACCATTGGAAGACATAGATCTTTCGAGCCCTTACGCATTCTGCCTTTTTATCAATATTTACCACTGCCTTCTTCAACAGGCCCTACTACTCTCCGTTAATGGACCTTTGCAAAAGAAGTCAATAAGTCACTTTATGAGAACTTCGTGCTACGAGATCGGAGGAGATGTATTTTCCTTAGCGGAATTRCATTCTTGTGTGATTTGTGGAAAAATGTCTAAGCCAATTAATCTGAAGCCGCCTTACATCGAGGCCCCGAGAAAATCAAATGCCTACAGATACTATGCCTTGAATTACACGGATGCACGTGTTCATTTCGTTCTCAACACTGCAGATATGGCTTGTCCACTATTCATCCCAGTGATGACACAAAGGTACATCGAGCAGCAACTTAATACAGCTTGCGTCGATTTTTTCGCCAACAATCAGTTGGTGGTAGATGTTAAGCGTAGAATTGTCACGGTTCCAAAGGTCTGCGAAATTCATCGAAACGACTTTGGGAATGGTGAATTACTCAACATCCTCAAATTCTGTATTGGTGAGATGGACAATGAGTTAGGGAATGCTATTCAGGCAGCTGTAAGCAAAAAAGGAGAAAAAGGCCTGACAATTAGATTTCAGCACGCTCAAGAACAGTACCACASCTCWCTTAAACTGAGAACTGCAGCAACGGATCAAAACCTTGAAATGAACTATTTCTCTATCGAAAACATCAAGTCGAATAGTACAGACGAATAGACCGGAATGTGGGTWTGAGAATTTTTCTATAGCGAAATTATTATCGTTTGATTAGGATGTCGCGGCCGTCGAAATCAGTTAAGACGTGAATGACATACTGTTTACAAACGYCTATTATCAAGTTGGGTTGCCAACARATAAAGATRACGAAAATAAGAATGCAAAATGATGAAATATTTGGACTAGGATGCTGAGAAAACAAGAGACATTATAKTCATGCCCCTGCGCCTTTTCATCGAATTTCTTTCACCCTGTCATTCAGCCTATTCTTTTTCTCACTTAMGCTATTAGATACAAGAATAAATTAAAATGTTCCGGAGTGGAACACACATAGATATAACAAGCGAACAATTTAAAACTGACTCGATAGCWCYTTTCGACATTAAACGTAGTCTTAAAAACCAATCTGGGAACTAATCTGGCCATGTTCCATATTTTGAACTCAAAATATTTGATTGAAAAGTAATGTTCTTGGTGGGATAGAATTATGCTCGTGGCCTTTCGTCGCCTTCCACCGAAGGAGGATCCAACTGTCCTATCGATCGCGCAAGAAACAAGTATGCAACGGAACTACAAAAGTGGCTAAAGAGCGTGTTGGTATTGGCCTGCACGACCAGTATGTCGAGGGGCTGCAGAAGATTCACCGCTTGGCCTGCTTGATATACRGCTGACGCACTAGTYGACGTTGTCAAAACCTTAATAGCCAAACCGCCAACGATTTGTTCGGCACCCATGAGTGCCACTGYCATGCCCATGAGATTCAAGCTGGTGCCTACCGTTATGCTCTTGCGCAACATGTTCGCGGCCTGGATGCGAGATGTTGGTTTTCGCAAAAGCCTCCTCGAGAGCCGACGCGTCGCCCAAGTCCAAAAGATAGATCCAAACGACAGCACGATGCTCGATCCGGCCAAAAAGTAGTTCGGAAGAAGAGCTCGGTTAACCGGATTAGCCCCGAACCCAACCGGGCCCGTTTCAATATTGAGAACATTTCGGGTGAACAGAAGCGTCACCGAAGAGACAACCGTTAATATCACCTGGGTCCACCAAGACAAAAATGCTACGCGGCGCATTCGGAGAGACACCAATTGAACAAGATCGTCCACCTTGGGACGACGCGAATCAGTAGAATCGCATTCATCTTCATTGTTATCATCGGAGGCTCGTCGTCTCAATGCCTTTTGCGTATTCGCCTTGCTCGTACCAAAACRATTTCTGACCTCTCGAGAGGACGGAACCAAATTCAGGGGGCTACACGCGGACGGAGGGTGAAGCAGCAGCGATCGCGTACGAGTGCACTSTTGGATCTTTGTAGCTGCTGGGGCAAATGCTTCTGTCGACAAGAAGCATAGTCCTGAAGCTGCGAAAAAATGTASAAAAGAAGATGCAAGCATCATGGTAGATTGGATGCTCTTAGTCAATTCAGATTGTGTACCGTAGTGCCGTTGTAATGCAACGAGACCAAAATGCACTGAACAATAAACGTGTTGTCGACCTTCAATTTTTGAAATCTTTTCGGAAGGTGGATTTCGTCAACGCGGTGTGCTCGATCCTCGGATCCGTCCGTTCAGGACTTTTTACAGGAACGGGTTACGTACCGGTACGGGGGGTTACGTCTCTCGGATGAATTTGTTTGGTCTTGGTGTGGCATTATTTTGTCCATTACTACTAGTACTAGTACTAGTACTAGTAATACTACTACTACTACTAGTATGTATGAGGAGGAGGAATGAGTTGATCTTGGGCTTCTTACTATTGGGAATGCCCCTCCTTCTGCATTTCCATTTTCAACCATTCATTGGAATCTTTTCTGCTGGTGGACACATACTAGTACTAGTACTACTAGTAGTAGTAGTAGGAGTAGTACTACTAGTAAGAAATCTGTTCTGCTGCAGTTCCTAGTAGTACTAGTAGTACTAGTAGCAGTACTACTAGTACTAGTCTACTACTAGTCTACTAGTACTAGTCTACTACTAGTAGTAGTAGTAGTAGTAGTAGTAGTAGTAGTAGTAGTAGTAGTAGTAGTAGTAGTAGTA